TGCATCATCATATGAATACGTATGTGTATGCGTATGCGTTCTTTTTCCCTTCCCCTTCTTGTAGAACTGTATAACTATCAGAGCATCCATTTTGCCTGTAGGGGAGGGCCTCCCACTAACCTCTGGTGGGGTCCCCCTCCCGTACGTACTGCTCAATAAACACTGCAGTGAAGCCTTGATTATTCTGCATTTTGTGTCCTGCGTTTTGATCCCACAATAACATGGCCAAAATGGGTGAGGACAGCTTTTGTACCACTTGTATAAGAAACATAAATGTAAATGAAGAATCACTTATGAAGTCTGAAAACTAAATGAGCCTAAAAATCAGGGTGAAGTCCCAATAATGCAAATTGAGCTGATACTGCTAAACTGTTGCTCATAATTCCACTAATTATGCCTTTACCGCCATCGCTAAGCCTGTTATTTCAGTGTGCCGCTAATTAACCAAGCTCAGTAACCCTGCTGAAAAGGCTGATTTTGTTGCTGGTATTGCTCATTCAGCTGCCATTTCATTCAGGTGCATTTCAACAAATCGAGTCTCGATTTGGTCCTTCCGGCCGCTCCCGGCCGGATCTGACCTGGGCAGACGCTCTGCGCTAATGCAGGGATTTTGGGTGAGTCTGTTGGGTGGACTGAGCCAAGTCAGCAGATCATGGCCTCGTGCATTGTATGAACGTGATGAGACAGCCTATTTTAATCTAGTTTAATTCATGTCTTGTGTTGATAAACAATTTTTATTCCTGTCTGCTTTTGCTTATTATTCAACATATAGAAATAGCCATGATGTCTCTACCTATTAGAGGTGATTTGGCCGATGGCTGACCTGTTTCTTAGGTAGAAATGACAGCAGTAGAGGAAAACCAGGCCCACCGGCTTCTTTTTAGGGATACCTGCGCACTCGGGACAGCTACGCCTCTGGTACCAAGTTACTCAGGGATAAGAGAAGAGCCTTAATGTAACCCTTGACTGAACTATGTTACGATGACCACTAAGACTGTCTGTCTGGCGTTGCTTTTCATGATTGGTTTGTAGGAGTGCATGCTTTTTGATTGGTTTATAGTTATGCACACTGTTCAAAATTGTATAAAAGGGGGTTGATTCCAAGCAGGGGTGTGCCTACTTTGGAACTTAATCCTGGGCAGCCTTTTATTTGCAGATAGAAGTCTTAATCCTTTCCATCTGTCTGGTGTGATTTCTTGGGCCTGCACACCAGGTAAATGGCCTGAGAGTTTTCTGGGATAATGACTACAATTGCAGGTTGCAGAGCAGGCCGGGTTGAAGAATTATTCTCACCATGGTTTCCACGCATATTTAAAATTTCCAAGGGTGTGGCAGTTAAACCTGATTTTATTTACCTTTGAAAGAAGTTATTGGACGCAATGTTATTTTCTAAAGTGTTAGTTTATTTATAAATATACAAGCTGAGCTCAGAGAGTTGCAGTGTAGACAAATTATTCACCTGCCTCTATTGTTTTACATTCACTTAGATTACAACAAACTTTCCCAGCACAATGGTTTGTACTGCAATTACAACTCCCATAATTTCCAGCCAAATTGTTCCCACTACTTTATTTCCAGGACAGGAGAAAGTCCTGCTTGCTTCATAATTTTGTGCTGGCTGGGAATTCTCAGAGTTGTAGTCCCAAGAAGAAGGGGCTTCACTGACATTTTTGTTCAAACACCCCTGGCTCCAAAACCCGGTACGCAGAGAGGGACAACGTGTCCATCGGCTAAGGGACACACTTGTTTTGTAGGAACTGAGGCAGGAATTGCCTCTGGAAATTAAAGCTGGTCTGAATGCAAGTCAAGAGAAGCTCAGTTCCACTCACTGTTGCCTTTTTGTACCACAGCCAGTTCTGGAAATCTTTAAGGTCACAACTGCAAACGAAAGACAGCTCCCTCAGATCCAGGAATTGCAATCGCACCAGTGGCTGAAACGAGGAAAGCGAGAGTGTCATCAAGGGGTTCCCACGGACACTGAGAGTATGCAGGGATTTCAAACTATGGAAAACCTGGTCTGGAAGCCTGTGCAACATGTTGGCACTGAGGTTCAGGATTTCTAGAGACACCAAACTGTGGAAAAGATTTCCAGGCAAGTCTTGAAGGTGATTAGAGCTGAGATTCAGAACAACTAGTTTCTCCAAATGCTGGAAGATGTCTATGCATTTCTGTCTGTTCCAAATTTTTTCCAGATTGTTGTGGGAAAGATCCAGTTCTTCAAGTTGCCTAGGAGATTTCTCTACTCTCAAACACCTTGCCAAGTGGTTACTTGAGAGATTCAGGAAATTTAATGTGGGAATTTTTGCTACATGATTCCAGACATCCTCCAGGTCACTTAGACGGTTGGAGGAGAAATCAAGACGTATCAGATTTTTGCCAAGTTGTTCTATACCCCAGGGATCCGTGATCCTGTTTTGCCCCAAATTAAGATTCAACAAGGAAGGGAGATTCCCAGTGGGGACTCGGACAAGAGCATTGTCTTGAAGGTCAAGAAATTGCAAAGTGTTTAGACCAGTCAGGGCACCATACTGAACAATACCGATGTGGTTGGACTTCAGGATGAGACGCTGCAGTGGAAAAGACCTCAATTTTTGCAGTCCCTTTGTGTAGATCTCTCCGAGAAGATTGTTGGACAAATCAAGAACTTGGAGCTTGTTTAACCCTGCAAATGCCCCATCCTGAATCTTATTAATCTTGTTGAATCTCAAGAGCAAGGTGTTGAGATCTGGAAAACTTGAGAAAACAGAGGCATTCAGTACACTGAGAAAGCCATGAGACATGTCAAAAGTGAGGATACCACTGTGACGCAATCCAGAGAAAGTGCTGGCTGAGATGTCTTTTATGTTATGGAAATCGAACCCACTCCCAATGGCTCCTGAATGTTGCATCTTGAGATTCTGGATCCTTGTGCCATTCAGCCTTTTGAAGAACTGTTCAACCTGCACCACATTCCATATGTTGGAAGAGATGTCCAGGGTGCCCAGGGTGATGTTGTGAAATGGGTTGATACAGGAAGGATAACGCGACAATCGGTTGGAGGACAAGTCAAGCAAGGTCAAATGGCGCCCACTGAGATATTGTAGGTCATTCCCACAAATTGCCCCAATCTTGTTGAGTTTCAGCTGAAGAATACTCAATTTTTTGAGCTTTTGGAAGGTTGGATCTGGTCTCAGCCGATTGATGTGGTTTCCAGTAAGGTCCAATGTTTTCAATGACAAAAGATCCTGGAAATAGCCTCTTTCCAGTATTCCATTATCAAAACCATTAACATCTAAGTGTAATACCTCTAATTTGGACAAACCATGGAGTGCTTTGGGGTGTAACGACAAGTTCCCATTGCCCCCCAAGTCCAGGAAAGTGATGTTGGGTACATTTGCAAAGGCCCTCTCTCCCACAAAGAGAGCACCTCCCAATTGCTTCCCCACTGATAGCATCTTCAGGGCGCTCATCCTTGGGAACGAAGAAATCTGGATGGTGGATAAGATGTTAAAATTCAACAAGAGGACTTGAGTGGACATATTCACACGAGGGACTGATCTATGGCCTTGGCCTTGGCAGTTGGTGACCATCAGGTTATTTATTTTGGTAATATGGCAGTCGGGAAATGCATCTGTAGCATAACTCAAGGCTACCAACACGGACACGATTGTAGCGAAGGGGGCTGGAATGAAGAAAGAGAGAAAAGGGATTTGTTAGTTTCCTACCCCTATTTCCACTGTAAAATCACTCTTTCTAGGGATCAGTCAGTCAGGGAACAGCCTTAACAACTGATCGCAGGACTTGGGCAGACCATGCAATTCAGGAACTTTGTTTACATGGGTTTAGTGTTTAGTATGTTGTTTGAATCCAGTTATGCATTAATTAACTTGGTTTAGTTGGGTGTCTAAGCTACTATTACCACCGTTGACTGCCCACCTTTCTTATTCCCCCCATAAGCTTTGGCATTAAGCCATGGTTTGATTTCTTTAATTTTGGCTTAGTATTTTTGTGAAGTCAACATAATTTTGGTTTAGTGTAATGTGCAAATCCAGACTTCTGTGGCCTATTCAGGAAATTATGGTTAAACAAATTATAGTTTGAGATGATGCATCAACAAACCATTTTCTGTATCAGGGAGCAACTCTTTATTAACTTCTGCAGTATTAGAGTACTGTTGGAATACTATCAGAGTACTATTGGAGTATTATTGGAGTATTCTACAGTACTGGAGAATCTGAAGACACATGAAGGTAAAAACTGTCTCCATCATTTAAATTGCCATTAAAGGAACTTTCTCCCCACATTTCCAGTTTCACTAAGTGATGCCTGCAGAACATGCTAATAATAATTTAATAATAATAAATAATAATAATAATAATAATAATAAATAACAATACAATATTTTTCCTTTTATTTCTGTAAACATGTATTGTTATGGATTTTAATTGTATATCTATTTATTGTTTTAATATGTTGTGAGCCGCCCAGAGTCCCCCATGGGGGGAGATGGGTGGGGACAAGTTTAATAAATAAATAAATAAAATAAAATAAGAGCACAAGGTTTAAGATCTGTGTAAAATAAGTTGGCCTCCTTTTCTGTCAGAGGCTACATTCACAAAACATACTTAACCAAGTCAGACAAAATTTAGCATTCACACAGACAAGCAATAAACTTGCTTATTTTTTGTGGCTTAATGCATTTTATAAACCATTTGGTTCCTTTGTGGTTCAGTGTATTTGCAAATGCAGAAAAATGAGTTCATTTACTAATCAAGTGAAGCATGTTGTGACAGGCAATGAGATGCAGGCTCTCCCCAACTTAAAAATTCTAAGTTTTCCTCCATTTCCTAAGTTCCAATTCATGTAAAGTCTATAGACCTCTGGCATTACACCTTACATTAAGTCATAGTTTGTTTAGCCACAATATCTTGAATAAATTACAGTTGGTTGGGCTCCTACATATTAAGCCATAAGCCATAGTTTACAATCCACCATGGGTACGTTTACACAACACAATTAAACCGCAAATCAGCAAGCCAAATTTAGTGTGCCCCCAACTTACCCCATTTTTGTTGCGTCTCACCTTTCTGAGTCTTCCACAGTGGCCATCGCCGGCAAAATGTAGACATGCTGTTGTGTGGAACAAAACAAATCCTCCTCCTTTGGATGGAAAGTGTGCGACTTTCTCCTGTATATGTGCAGTGGCACCGTTATGGCCCCATATAAATGCCACTGGAACCACCCTCCCAAGCCTCACGTCAAAGGCGGTTGTTGACAAAAAGTGATTTGAAAAGTTGCATAATGGGGAAATGGCAGGGAAATTCCCCCTGGGCCCCTCTGGGATGTTCCTCCACATGCACATCATGTACCCCTTTGCCAGGTCTTCCCAGGTCAACAGATCTTTAGATAGAGCTCAAATAAAATCATTACTCATGTTCAGGTGTGAACAGACCCTTGTTTACCTTCCATTGTTGGGTAAAACAGGACATTTCAAGCAATGTACCTTGTTACAGAGTGAAGCACCGTTCAGATCTAGAGGAAGTTTCTTTCTGCAACGTTTATTCAAGATATTATCATTTCCTGTTCGGAAATGCTCTTTTGGTGCATGTGTAGGCCTACAGAGCAATCTCTCTTCCCAGTTACTAGGCCATGTTGGCTACAAGACTCACCCACGGCGGTAGTCACAAAAGAAAAATGAAAAAAACAGAAATGTCTCCCTCTGAGGCTTAGAAAAACCAGACTTTTCCTGACTGTGTGACACACTGAACTTCTAACTAATCAATTGCGTTTTAGGCTAATGTGTTGTGTGAACCTACGTGGAGCTTCAATGTCTCATGCAAAACCAAAAAACTAGACTGAGTAAACCATGGATAAATTAATCATAGGTTGTGTGGACACAGCCAATATTGTGTAGTGCAATAGCAACTTGTGGCACTTTAACAATTAACATATTTACTGAAGCCTTTTTAATGGGAAAAAACCCTTCTTCCTTCAACCTGGTATTTCCAGATGTGTTAGACCCACAAATCACAAAATCTCAGCCTTGCTTGCCTTAATACATCTGGAGGGATGCCAGGTTAGGAAAGTTTGAACTAGTCCCCCAGAAAATGTTATTAAAAATTGTGTATTTATGACAATTATGTGAAGGCTTAAATTGTGCAAAGTTGCAACAACGACAATTCATTGTACCAATGAGTTCACACACATGCCATGGTAGGCTAAAATGGGGTTGGGTCATTTGCAATTCAGCACGTTGTGGGAAAATGTTCTCTTAGTAGCATGTGTGAACCAAGCCAACACATTAAGCCAGGGATGTGCAATTTTGTGGGGCCAGGGACCCTCTGGAGAATTTTAACATCCCATCTGGGATGTAGTGAAAGCATTGTGAGGGTCACAGTTGCATTTTTCTGTTGTTTTGTAAGTTTTTAAACATGGAGATGGGTCTTTGGAAAGCAAACCACATCCAAGATTGGGGGGAAAAAGCCAGTCCAAAATGGCACCTCTGGAATATGGCTCTTTTGCAGTCAATTTTTAGCCATGTGATCTCAAGGCACTGAGGAGAGGCCTATGAGACCGTTGGGTGGTTTTTACATAGCCATGGAGTAAACTGGGACTTCATTTTCATCCGCTGTCCTACTGCTGAGCACAACCATTCCTCTTTCTGCCTCAGCAGCATCTATACCACACGGATGTTTTATTATCTCCAGGAGAGAGGTCTCCTACCCCCAGAAACAGACTGTCCCCACCACTACTTTTGACACGGCAGGACTTCCTGCGCATGGTCTTACCCAACTGTAGCCTCATTCCTGCTGTTGCAATGGTGGAAGACGCACATTGACATTACAACACCTTGTGGAAAAGGGAGGGGGACTGTGGATAAGACTGGTAAGGCAAGTCAGCATTGGAAGGCAGGAACTTAATGATGTTGATGATCGTGTGAAAAACCCTCCAACTCCGGCTATGCACATAAATTAGATAGCAACCGTGAAGCTAGGCAGAGAGTCCAGAAGAAATCAGTTCTTTGGGAAAAATTGGAAGAGAGGTGTAGGGGCTTTCCACACAGAAAGATCTCCTGCCAAGTGAAAAAACAAGAATTTGAGCAGGGCAAAGATAGGAATGTCTATTGAGTAAGTCTGTTGGGGGCAATGCATGTAATGCACAAGGCTGAATCCCGGAGTCAGTGAGGTCAAAATCAACAAACATCGGTTGGGTTCCCAGGACAAGTAGCACAAGGTTAAGCATTTGGTGGGAATACAAGCACTGCTTTAGCAAACCAGCAGGATTCATAACAGGATTTGTTAACCCAACTTTACTATGCAGTGTGAACCTAGCCATACTCTGACATCCTGGTTTTCCAGTATGTCTTCATTGTGCAGTCTCTGATACTCTTCTCCTTTCTGTGACTCTCCTAAGCAGCAGGAAATGGGTACACGCTCTCTTTTAGCAGAGCTCTGCCCCCTTATAGATGGCATTTGAAATGATACAGAAGACTGCTTATGTCCCAAGGGCTGCAAGGTACTAACCTTGCCCTAAAACAAGCCAGTGACAGGCCTGTTCGGCTTGAGACAGTAAGAACAATTAACAACTTGGGGTCTGATAAAGCAGTTTTCTCTTGTCCTCTATCTCAATGAAAGACAGACTTCCATATTCAGCTCTAATATTTGGAATTAAAAGATGATTAATTGCTTTCATTTTTGGTTAAAGTTGGTAATATTAAGCTAAGTGAATAAATAGTCTGACCTTGTACAAGGAGCTGAAAAGGACTATGTCACAACTGGGTTCACACAATATGCTAAGCTATGGCTTGCTTAACAGTTCACTGTGTAAGTCACACCTGGCTGGGCTCATAACGCACCTAATCTGCAAACTGCACTGGCTGGTCTCCCATAATATGCTAAGCCCCAAACAAACCACACTTTGGTTTAGCTTATTTTGTGAACCCAGCCTTCAAATGCCAAAGATCTTGAGTTTAACTCCCTGCACCTCCAGTTAAAGCAGGGTTCCTCAACCTCAGCAACTTTAAGATGAGTGGACTTCAACTCCCAGAATTCCCCCCCCCCACCTCCTGCCGTGGGGCGTTCTGTAGGGTGAGGTTCCCCCCTTTCTAGAAGTTGGGGGGTAGGGAACCCAGGGTA